TAAATAATATTGTAAATACATGTAGATCAGACCTCCTGTCATGGTCTGCTTGTAGATTTAGGATTTAGAGTTATGACTGATAAGATTGTTTAATTTTACAGTTTGTGGGATATAAATGTCATAATGCTTTATAGCGATCGCAAGAGAGCCTTTGCGACCACTGAGGACAGCTAGTGAATCTCTTTTCATTGTAAAATATTTAAATTATTTATAAAATTTTTCTTATTTCTCTTTGATTCTATGAATCGAAATCGCATAGATTTTTTTTTTTTCTTTTTATTCAACTGAGGCATAGATTTCGTATTCCTACGGACTGCAAGATGCTTTCAGGAGACAAACTGAGAATAATTCCCCTGGTGCCTCAATAACCTCTATACCAGAGAAACACCCCAGGACATCTAATAGACATCCTGAGGGTAACAGTTATTGAAGGTAGACCAAAAGTGACATCTAAATGAGCGACTGAGATTATAAAAAGATTAATACTTTATTATGTTATTCATGTAGCGTTTATTTTTAGTGCGTTGTGAGTTGTGTGACTTGGTTGTGTTTCGGTTGATTGTGTGAAGATAAAGTGACGCCTTCATTTATACCACCTTCTTAATTTATGTATATTAGTAACGAGATGAGTAGGCATGAGAGAGTAATCTAACCATATCGTATTATTCCAACCTTAATCATATTAATTTTCTATGGTACCCACGACCAGTCTATAATAATAAATCTAGATCCACCGTTCAGTTGTCTTTTTTAGATTCTAAGTTTTGTTAATTCAGTTATGATAGTGTATATGGTGACAACACTAATATATTAACATAGGACACCTTTCCATAATTATAATTGAGAATAGACTCACAATTATAGATATCATGAGACAGATTAAATAGAACGTAAGGAATATAGTTAGGTAGTAAGGAAGTCAAATCCCCAGTTTAATTATATACGTAATGATATTAAAAATTTGCCTCACATCATGTATCATGTTAGACTCTGACATCTTCTCATAAATATCATCTCTCTATACTTTCATATAATCTATATCCAATATTCTAACCTTCTCTCATTACTCATATCCTCTATATCATCTATACTCTATTCATCTCTCTGTATCATGATTCTCTATCCTCTCTCTCTGGTCTATCTCTACTAAGTACCTCTTCTATCTCCATATATATTCTCTCTAATCTATATATAATACTTACTATCTTCTATCTCTTTACTCTCTCTCATCCTGCACCTGTCAGCCCTATGTTCATATATTGACTCCAGGATTGGAGGTCAACATATATAACTTCCTTAAGATCTAAAAAAATCTATAAGGTATTACTATATTTTATCATCTATCAACGTAGAAAATGGGTACATAAAAAAGAGACACGTAAAATAAACAGATGCAATAATATCATAATTAGTATTATATATATTATATATGTGTTAGTGATATTCTGATGTTAGTTAGTGTGTATGTATGACTGTGGTGATGATATATGATGTTAGTGTGTGTAATGCGTGTGTATAGTGTGTGTGAGTGTGTGTGATGTGTGGTGGGTAGTGTGTGTTGTGTGTTGAATGTGTTATATTACTTATATAATCTATATATATCAAATTAACCATTATATTAAGTAACAATCTTATATAATATGACAATATTATTATAAATATTATAATATGATATAATGTACTGTATTGATATTCATATATTATACTAATTACATTTATATAAATATTACACTAATATTGTAGTATAGAATATATGTTAATTAATTATAATTGAATATTATATATATATATTATATTATATATATAATTGTAATTTGATTTTCCTTCACCCTTGTTTCTATTCCCATGGGAGTGTAATGTATTGTGAAGAAAATTTATGTCTGCGTGAAGCATGTTAATAAACGAATGATATATTAGCGGAACGTATTGTTTTATCTTTGTGCGTGGGTGTACAGTGTATGTCTGTGTGTCTGTTTGTGCATAAAATGTAAAAATACTGATTGCAAAATACCTGAAAATAAAAAAAAATAAAAAAAAAATCATACATTGTCTGGCAATAATGCCGAATTAAACCAAAAAAAGAAATAACTTAAGTCTATATGTTATTAATTGAAATTACCGCTAATTATTTTCTGAGGTAGACCCTACATATATTCTTATCACGTTCGCACAATTCTCTGCAGAAAGCGTCTTAAAATTTCCTGATGACACAGAGAGAAATGTAAGAACACATGATAGGAACTTAATAGAAAAGTGTTCCTGATAGTGTTATCAATAAAACATTTCCTCTCCATTTCCTTATTAATGTCAATAACCTGCTTCATTAACTATCAAACGCAGTGAGAGAAAGTAAAAGGTACTGCGAATCTTATCAAATTGTAATATTTACATTAATCATACAAGTGCATGTAAATTATTTATCCCCACAGTCATAAACAAGGTTAACGATTGTTGTTAGTCTGAGTATAATCAATATACAACATTCTCTAAACATCAGATAGTCTAGGCTATTTTTTTTTTTTTATCACTATCATGCATTGCTTTTCCTGATTTGTCCTAAAAAATGGAGTTCATTCTTAAAAATCCTCGTTTGTTTACGTCATGCAGTAACATATAATAAGATACTCGCCGCATCAGCCAGTTAGTCTCTTCGCGGCAGTCGGCGAGGTAAGAAGCCACGTGCTGTCGTCCCCATGAATGGCACTTTCGCTTTGCCTGTATGGTCGAAAATCCCTATTGCAATGGTTGAAAGATGGGTCGTACGTTGTTCCGAGTCTGCTGACGTAAGGGAAGGGGGGAGGGAGAGGATTTTTTTAAGATGCAAATCATGGGGAAAGTAATAAGAACATAAAATGTTTTTGTTCTCCATGTCCACTCACCTTTATTTATCCATATGAATATATATACACATTTATCTATTTGTACACACACACACATATATGTATTTGTTTTTTAGTTGTATTTACCAATATCTACCTGTATTTATCAATTTATACCGCTATCCATCCATCTATATCTACCTCATTTTAAATCAATACATAGCAATATCACCAACGTACATACATTTTTTTTTAAATCGCAAGCCATCTTTAAAAAAAGCAAATGAAACACGTGGCGGAGGAAACGCGTGACGTCATAAGGTAAGCCCGCCTCAGTTCGGGTTAACGGATGTTTGCTTGAGTCGAGGTCGAGACGCCAAGGTGAACGCGCCGAATCTGGACAGTCATGTTTGCCGAATCGAGATGGAGTAGACGTTTTATTGGTTGTATGAATGTTTTTCACTTTGTTCTTTATTTGCATATTTATTTTTTCTGTCTTTTCTTTCTCTTTCTTTCATTTTTGAGGAGAGGGGATCGAGGAGGGAGAAGGGGGTGTATGACTTGTGTAGTGTTTCCGTTTGTATACAGAGTGGTGGTGCTGGTGAGGAGGGTGTGGGGTTGTGTGCTTGTGCGTATGAATGTGTGTGTGCGTGTGTGTGTGTGTGAATGCATGTGTGTATACGTGCGCATGTACGTATGTATGTACAAAATGAAAACATACCAAACATCGTGTACATAAAATAAAGACCAAAACAAAGACCGACAGAGAAAGAAAACGGAAAAAGACCCTTCACATCCTTCGCAGTCTTGCCTTTGTCTTCACGCATCGCCCTATCTTCCATTTCCAGAAAAAAAAGCCACAATGAGCGAGGACAAAGCCGAGGCGAAGAAGACTGGCGAGGACACAGCCGCCATCACGACCTACGACGACCTCAACGACCTCGCAGGATCACAGGACATACGGACGCTTCTGATCCTCGTCTTGATCTCCTTCGGTGCGTGTGATGATTTGGTCTTTTTTTCGTTTTAGTCTTGTGTGTCTTAACTGTTTTTTTTCTTTTTTTTTTTGTGTTGTTTCTCTGACTACGTAAATTTTCCGGTCAGTTTGCAATTAGACATTACTATGGACATTTTGTAAGATCTGTTGTGTGTGTGTGTTGCGTGTGCTGTGTGTGTGTGTGATTGTTAATTCATTTGTTATGCATGTGTGTATGTAAGTATGTATGTATGTATATTTAAATAATTCAAATGTAACGTAACCATGGCTTCTTTGCAAACTGACCAGGAAATGCCAAATGGCCGATTTCACTAAGTGACCATAACATACATTTGTTGATGATTTCCCACTTTATCCCTTATTAACCGGTGCGGTAGTAAACAAATTAGATAATTGAATTGCCTCGGTTTAGAAATATCAGGCAAAGACGGATAAGTACTAATTTTACCTTTAATTATCATCAGTATTTCGATTTTGATAGTATCTAAATGGTTTGAGTCGCGTTGGTAGGATAGAGTACTATACTTTCCAATAGTTTTAGTGTTTTTCACTTCCTGATGTAGTAATATAATTCTCTTGCTGACGTGTTTAGTTGTATGTATGTATTCATTTTAATATAGGTATGAAAATGTTCTCTCTCCACTGTCTTTGTCAGAATTAGAAGACTCAAACTTTACACTGGCATTTAGGACCAAGGCTGTTTCATGTTAATGCCAGTCTCTCATTTTTTTTAACTTTCTTTTCTGTATGATGTCATCCTGTAACAAGTACCATCGTAACAAATATGAAAATCAGTATCAAAACAATAATTCAAATTATCCATGTGTTTGTTTTAGGAACATTTATCAACCCACTCCAGACAATTAATTACCAGTTCTTGGGTGCCACTCCGGACTACTGGTGCCACGTTCCCGCTCTGGTGGATGCCAACTGGACTCAAGAACAGATCCTAAGTCTAGCTATTCCCAATGGGTAAGGAAAGTACTCGTGTGCCATTCTCTCTTCTTGGCATCGCGTTAAGATGTTGAGATATATTGTTCTTGAGGCGAAAGGAAGAATACTTTTGATTAGAGAAATAGTTTCACTATGCGGTATAGCTTATCAAACTAATTTCTGTAACTTGCTTTCACTTTAATATCGTAATTGCTATCCCTGAACTAGGAACACCAGTAGCCAACGCAGTAGTTGTGTCATGTACGACTACAATTTCACTTTAGCGGCTGAGTTGGGCTTCGAAGTGGCCGCCTCGAGTCCAGAGTTCTCCCTCGAGGATGGCGAGGAGGTCAGGACAGTGAAGTGCTCCTCGAGGGATTTCGACAGGAACCAGTACGAGTCAACGGTCGTCACGGAGGTGTGTGTGTGGGTAGTTGCTTAATGAATACCTAGGATAAGTGGATTCAGCTCTCGAATTGGGTACTTTATCGAAGTATTACTGTTTGAAATGCCGTTGAATTAGCCAAATATCTGTGTATAAATAAGTTGAACTGGGCAGTTTAGACCAATGATTATTGTACGGAATAAATTTTTAAAAAACTGTATTGTACGGAATATTTTTTTTCAGTTGAATTAACCAAATTTCTATGGATAAAAAAGTTGAAGTAGGAAGTTTAAACCAAAGATTATTGTACAGAATCATATTTTAAAAACATGTCCATATACAGGGTCTGCCAGTCGTATCTATGGATCATTTTCCTGACACCACCCCGATAAAAACGTTGAATTAGGAAGTTTAAACCAAAGATTATTGTACGGAAAAAAAAGAAAAAAAAACATACAGCGTCTACCAGTCGTATTTATGGATCATTTTCCTAACACCACCCCTTTTATTTCTGCAGTGGGATCTGGTATGCGAGCGCCGTGTTTTGTACTCGACAACTCAGGCTGTCAGTCAGGTGGGAACTCTGCTTGGCTCGCTTGTGGTCGGCTACCTCTATGATGTGTGAGTATCTCGTATCCTGTTGTCTTTTCTTTATTATTATTATTATTATTATTATTATTGTTTTGTTGTTTGTTATTGTTAATCATTATTATTATTATCTTTTATTTTTTATACTGATGCCTCATAGCAAAAAAAGTATGGTGGTGACTTTACAACGCAAGAAGGATGTAAGTGACGGACGCGTATCGATTTATTAAAGAATTCTGAAAGAATCGAAATATTTCTTGAGAACCCAGGTTATCTGAGATACGATTCCCAACCCAGTTAGGCAGAGCAAAGACAACTACGGGCACTTCTTATCTCATATTATAACCACAGCCTTCGTGATTCCTCATAGTAAAGACGAAACCTGCCAAGATGACCTGTCAAAGACTGGGTGGATCTTCCGATCGGCGTAGACGGCGCCCACACGTTTCGCTACCTCGCTCGACACGATCCACCCCTCCAAACCTCCTCATCGTGCACGCAGGGTTGTTGGCAGGCTACGGTTTCCATTACCCGCTTAGTACAATGATCCGCCGGGAGCCCATCGAAGTTTACTCTCAACTGAGAACATTCGCTCACAATATTGAAGTACCCTTGATCATCAGCAACCGTGTTATGGCGGTGCAGGGAGGAAAGCCGATCTTAGGCTTCCCTTGGACTGTGCCTTACCTGGTTGATTATAGGGGATAAAAGATGTACCCCAGAAAATTGAGAAAAGGCTGAAAAAATTATGAGGCACTCAGACAGCAACAATGAACACACAATCACCTACACCACACACCACACACGACACAAGAGACACACATCTATCGACAGCGCACCACTATCCTATCATTCACTATTAAATTACATTTCCATTACAATGCTCAGCCAAAACCACAATAGCCAACACTACTACTCGACAAGCAGGAACACCAGCAACAGACGACAGAGAAGACAGGCAAGCAACAGGCAGACAGTAGTATACATATACATATGGTGATGTAGATGTGATACAGTGGTCAGTGATGCGGAGTGTGAGGGACGGGGAGCGGGGGGAGAGGAGTGGACGAGGGGTGAGGAGGGGAGAGGGGAGGAGAGGAGAGGGGAGAGCGAGGGGGAAGGGAGAGAGAGAGAGAGACAGAGATGAAGAGAGGAGAAGAGAGAGAGAGAGAGAGAGAGGAGAGGCAGAGAGGAGAGGAAGAGAAGAGAGAGGGGACCGAGAGAAGACGAGAGACGGAGGAGAGAGAGATGGAGAGGAGGAGGCGGAGAGGGGAGGAGGAGCGAGGCAGGCCGGAGAGACCGCTCAACCCTATTACCAGGGAGAGAGAGAGAGCAGAAGGACGAGAGACTGGAGAGAAGACCAGAAGAAGCAGAAGAGCCAGAGAGAGAGAGAGAGAAGAGCGGGAGAGGGAAGGATGAGAGAGATGAGAGAGAGAGAGAGAGAGAGAGAGAGAGAGAAAGAGAGTGAGAGAGAGAGGAGGGAGAGAGGAGAGAGAAGAGAGAGATGAAGGATAGTGATAAATGAGGAGAATAAGAAGATCAGATAGAGATCATGATAAAAGAAGTAGAATAGAAAGGAAGTGTTAAGAAGAACATACAGAGGGAAAAGCCCAGAATAACAGAAGACATCTCAGAGAATGAGTTTGATGTTTGGTTTTTAGTTGCTCTTTGGCAGAAGAGATGAATCTTGATTACAGTAGATTTCAGAGAGGTCATAGTTACACGACCTCTTATTAAAATCTTTTTGACCTACTCTAATATTGGGTGAACAATCTGTTCATTAATTTTCCTTTCCTCATTTTTCATTGTCTTCGAAGTCACTAGAATTCATTCCCGGACCTATCATTATTGTGTATGTTTAATCAATTGTTCAACCTCTTCCCTCTTCATTACTGTCTCTTCTCTCTCTCTTTTATCCTCCTCTATACTGTGCTTTTTATTATGTTTCTACTATTCTGGAAACTACGTATACTTCTAGTAAATTCTTGAGGATTGTTTACTTTGCCTTACTAGGGTTACACATAATACATCATAACATAAATATTTCTTGATCAGTGGTATTCGTCCTATGTCCAGTTCGTATTTGCATGTCGAATAATTTTGCTACTCTCATGTGCGTTCATTAGCGTGAGCTAACTCTGTCCTACTGAGAGAGCGAGAGAGCTCGATGCATCTGCGTACTCTGCTCTCAGTCTCGTCTGTCTCTTTCTCTCTCTCTCTCTCGTCTCATCTCTCGTCTCCGTGCTCTCGGTTCATCTGATAAGACAGGATTGCACGCTATAACACATATTACAGAATACATGGCAATAACACTGGACATGCAATAACACTGATCAAGAGTTTTAGTTGGGTATGTGTAATGAAGCAAAACAGTGCCAAAAAACCAAACACCTACAAAAAATGAAAGACAAAAAATAAAAAAAAGAAAAAAAAAAAAGGTAGGGACTAGAAGGGGAGAACGGAGAGAGAGAAGAGAGAGAGAGAGAGGGAGAAGAGAGGGAGAGAGAGAGAGAGAGAGAGAGAGAGAGAGAGAGGAGAGAGGAGAGAGAGGAGAAGAAAGACAGGAAGACAGAGAGAGAGAGAAGAGAGAAGAGAAGAGAAGAGAAAAAAAGAGAGAGAAGAAGAGAGAGAAGAGAAATCCATTGTGGAGGAGAGGTAGTTTTCCTTGGGTAAAAGTTTTAAGGGTCTGTCGGCCTCACTGTTAGCTTATTTCGCCAGAGCAAATACATTTCTTCGAGTGTCTTTTTTGGGCTTTCCCGTATGTCTTCTAACACTCCTTTCTATTCTACTTCTTGTATCATCGATATCATTATCATTATCATTATCCTCTCTCTCTCTCTCTCTCTCTCTCTCTCTCTCTCTCTCTCTCTCTCTCTCTCTCTCTCTCTCTCTCTCCTCTCTCTCTCTCTCTCTCTCTCTCTCTCTCTCTCTCTCTCTCTCTCTCTCTCTCTCTCTCTCTCTCTCTCTCCTCCCTCCCTCCCTCCCTCCCTCTCCCTCCTCTCTCTCTCTCTCTCTCTCTCTCTCTCTCTCTCTCTCTCTCTCTCTCTCTCTCTCTCTCTCTCTCTCTCTCTCTCTCTCTCTCTCTCTCCTCTCTCTCTCTCTCTCCCTCCCCCTCTCCCCCTCCCTCTCCCTCTTCCTCTCCTCTCCCCTCTCCCCTCTCCCTCCCCCTCTCCCTTCCTCCCTCCCTCCTGCCTTTCCTCTCTCCCTCCTTCCCTCAGAATGCCATGTTGTTTTGGCACATAAGAAATTAATTAAAATGAATAAAGAAGTGCGCCAATAATATCTCTTGTCTCGGGAATTTGTTCATTCTCACCCATATTTCCTGTACATTTCCTCTACAGTGATGGAGCTGTGTTCCTCTCGCCATCGTTCTACAGTATCTGTCATGTTCGTGGTACCTTGGGCTCTCGGTTACATGGTACTACCAGGTATCGCTTACCTGGTGAGGACTTGGTACTGGCTGCAAGTGGCTCTTACGGTCCCCGCTCTTTACACTGTCTCTTACTTTTGGTAAGTCTTATTACTGCGTATGGTGAAATACTCGTAAAGAAAAGAAAAACTAAAGCATTAGGTCGAATTTCATAAAATGGCTTCTATTTTTTTTCCATTATTATTTATTCAAATCTTTATTGGATTATAGCTGATTCTTGTTTCCTGTTGCATTTTTCCGGTCAGTTTCTTGCTTCGTTAATTTCACAGCGGAGTTCGCAAAGCATTACTGACGTAAGTGAAGATAATTTATTTGGTGGTGGCTAAAAAATACAGACTATAGTATTTGGTGCTGAATGAGATTCATTGTCAGCGTGATGCATTGTTAGAAATTATTTCTGGTAATGAATGCATTCCCTTTAAGATATCTGTGGCAGATTTACGAGTTGCGAAGCTGGATTTTGGGTCGTTGGTGGAAATCTGTGATTTAAGATTACTTGTTTTGCTTTAGTCTTTTTACTTCCTTTTCAATATCGCCGTTTTGTCTCAATGTTTACCTTACACGACCAAACAAGGCAGTAGGGCGTTTGCTTCAGTACATAATTTCACCTGGCCAATGGCGTATCGAGAAAGAGCTGCGTCACTCTCCCGTGCAGGCATTTCCCCGTGTAAACAAGGCAAGTCATGCACTGAAGGAATAGGGTTTTCCAGCTTCAGTTCCGTTGAAACTCTGCGTGGCTTTTGGCTCATGAGAATAATCGATTCTCTTTCAGTGATTTTGAATTTTCTGGACAGCGTCATAAAATATATTGTGCTGCTTTTTCATCGATGAAGCATGAGATTTGTTGAAAAAATGCGATATATTCACAAGCAATCAAATCAGTCCTGACCATAAATAATGATCGCATTTATTATTATGATGTGCATAAAATATTATTTGCGCTTAGAATAAATTTATTACTACTAAAGTGTGTTAAAATAGTAATGACATCCGTAATAACAAGACATTTCCCAGAACTTTACAACTACAGTAATAAGAAAAAAAAAGACACTACTAGAAAAAAAAAACATTTCATCACCACACACATACCAACTGTCACCACAACGCTCATCACTTCAATCATCACCTCATCATTTCTCTTGCGACTCATACCACTCCAGGCTGCTCCCAGAATCCCCCCGTTGGCTCCTGGCGAAGGGAAGACATGGAGATGCCCTCGACGTGTTCAAGTGGCTCGCAAAGATCAACGGAAGAACTCTGCCACCTGACGAAGTACTCCTGCAAGCTCTCAAGAACTTAGCTACTTTGGTGGGTTTCTTAGATTTCCTGGACTTAGATATAAGAAAGAAGGGGGGTATGAATGAGAAGGAAAGTAGGGAGGGAGGGAGAGAGAGAGGAAGATGAAAGGAGGAAGGGAGAGGGAGATTTGGAAGCAGGATGAAGGGAGGGAGAGAGAAGAAAGGGGTTTGGGGATGTAAGGAGGGAGAGTGAGATTTAGAAGGAGAGAGATATAGAAAGGGAATGATAGAGATGGAGCGCAAGGAAGAGAAAGAGAGAGAGAGAGAGATAGTGAAACATGGGAAGAGAGAGAGAGAGAGAGAGATAAACATGGGAGAGAGAGAGAGAGAGATAGTGAAACATGGGAAGAGAGAGATAGAGATAGTGAAACATGGAGAGAGAGAGAGAGAGAGAGAGATAGTGAAACATGGGGAGAGAGAGAGAGAGAGTGAAACATGGGAAGAGAGAGAGAGAGAGATGGGAATGAGGGGTTGAAAGAACAGCACGTAGAATTAAAATGAGAAATCAATTAGCTGAACACGCATACCTATCCACACGCGAATAAACCGACCCCAAAATGAATCCTTTCTCTCCACGCCCTCCTCATCCTCCTCGCCCGATACGAAACAGGACGACAAGGAGGAGCCGAAAGCGGACCAGGAGGCCAAGGAGGACCTCGCCGCCCGAGTCCTGACCGCCGTGAAGCAGTTCTTCGCCCTCGTGACCACCGCGGGCCTCAGGGGAAGGGCGGCCGTCGTCTTCTTCTGCTGGTTCGCCGGTTCGCTCATCTACTACGGCGTCGCTCTCAACGCCACCAATCTGAGGTGCGGTGCTTATCTTATTGTTATTCCAAGTCTTGCTCTACTTTATTTGCTCTCATATTGATTGTGTCTACATATATAGAGAGAGAGACATACACACACAGACACACACACACACACACACACACACACACACACACACACACACACACACACACACAACACACACACACACACACACACACACACACACACACACACACACACACATATATATATATATGCGTATACATGTATGATGTAATATGATAATCACACCACCACCATTATTTCACCTTTTTTCATTATGAACTGTAAATCACCTCCCACCCATTAATTGCAACATGAACAACAGAGAAAAAATAAACTAAAATATCCCGTCTTGTTCCAGCACCGACCCTTACCTGTACATGTTCCTGGGCGGCCTGCTCGAGATCCCCTCCTACGTGTCATTGTGGCCTGCCATTATCTACCTCGGAAGGAAGAAGTCCCTTGTGGCGCTTTATTTCGTGTGCGCAGTGTCTATCTTCGCTGTTATGGCTGTCCTGATCGTGACTCCCGGAGGTATGATGTCTATTTTCTTTAACTGGGATGTGTAGGTATTTTGTTTTCAAGTAAGATGGCTTCGTTTCTTGTGGTGTGTTAGTCAAATCATTTCTCTGACTTTTTTCTCGACTAGTTTGTGTATCGTTTTGATATATATTTTTTCCTCGACGCTAGAATAATCAACCATATTCAAGCCAGAAAAAAATTAACATTCACTCACCACTCCCCCATCCCCATTTTTTAAAATTTCTCCCATAAATTTCCCTCAGAAACGCTAATAACATGATACTAATTCTTTTTTTATTATTTTCTCCCATTATTTTTACCTTCTCATTTTAATTCTCTCTCAGAAACTGGCTAATAATATTATAATGATTCCTTTTTTTATTATTTTCCCTCAAAAAACTGGCTAATAACATATTTTTTTTTTCCCTCAGAAACTGGCTAATAACATGATAATTTCTTTCTTTTATTATTTTCCCTCAGAAACTGGCTAATAATATGATAATAATTCTTTTTTTTCAGAAACTGGCAAATAACATGATAATAATTCTTTTTTTTTCTTCAGAAACTGGCAAATAACATGATAACAATTCCTTTTTTCCCCTTAGAAACTGGCAAATAATATGATAATAATTCTTTCTTTTCCTCTCAGAAACTGGCAAAATAACATGATAACAATTCCTTTTTTTCCCTAGAAACTGGCAAATAACATGATAATAATTCTTTCTTTCTTTCCCCCTCAGAAACTGGCACTTTGATGATCTTCCTGTCCCTGTGTGGGAAGCTCGCCATCACAGCAGCCTTCCATCTGGCGTACATCTTCACCGCCGAACTGTTCCCGACGACTTACCGCTCTCTCGCCGTGGGACAGGCCAACGTCTGCGCGAGAATCGGGAGCACTTGTTCGCCTTATATCAATGATATTTTGGTGCGGCCATTTCGTTTGTATTGTATTATTATCATTATTATTATTGTTGTTGTTGTTGTTGTTGTTGTTGTTGTTGTTGTTTATTATTATCATTTCATTATTATTATTATCATCATCATTATTATTATTTTTTTATTATCATTATTATCGCACTTATAATTTTCGATAGAATAGTGAGATATTTATGTGTCAAATTACCGTTATTACTAGTGTTTTGACATATATATATATATATATATATATATATATATATATATATATATATATATATACATATATATGTATATACATATATATATATACATATATATATATATATATATATATATATATATATGTATATACATATATATATACATATATATATATATTATATATTATATATATTATTGCTATCATTAGTGACATAATTTTAGTTATCATCATCATTATCACGACCATCATCATCACCACTACCACCAGCACCACCGCCACAACCATCATCATCGACAACAACAGCAACAACAACAACAACACAACCATCATCATCATTACCTTCAAGAACACCACAACCATCATTATCATCATCGTCACCATCATCTTCATCATCATTATCATTATCATCGTTACGAAATTATATATTAATAGTTGTAAAAATAGTATTATACATATACAATAGTAACATCGTATCATCATCGTGTGGGAATACAATAGCAATCGTAATGACAAGTAATAATGATAATGAGGATCATGATGACAGCGATAAGAACATCATAAAGTATCGGATGATGATCATAATGATAGTGACTATAATAATGATAATAATAATATAATAATAATAATAATAATAATGATAATAATGATAATGATGATAACAATAATGATAATGAAAATAATAATAACAATAAAAATAATAATGATGATAATAATAAAAATAATAATAATATGAAGAAATAGAAAAAGAAGTAGCATAAATTGAAGTAGAATAGAATAGTTATGATAATGATAACAATATCGATGTTATAACAAAATCTAAATCCACATTGAATACACAATAGAAATAAATATCTTTAACAGGGTGTGGTAACTGTATGGGCGCCATCCGCCGTGTTCGGATCCTTAGCTCTGATGGCTGCCGGTCTAGCTGCTTTACTCCCAGAGACCAAAGACTGCGACCTTCCCGAAACAAATGAAATCCCACGAAGTCGCCAAAGGAGGAATTCGCAAGATTCAGCCGATTCTTTGGAAATGAAAACTGGACTACCGAATTGCAGCTTCGAGCCAGACATCGACCAGAGCGAAACGAACACAGGGCGGTCGTGATTTCGGTTTAGTCTCGTGTTGTAAATTATCTTTAACGGAGCGTAAATAGAACGAGGTAACTGTGATAGTTTTAAGTCATTAAAATTATTTCATGAAAGGGAAAGTAAGCAAGATAATGGAAAAAGCGAGAGGATTTAACAACGAAATACTGTGGGTCCGTTATTGTACAAATATATCAAGTGTCATTATTTAAATAACCACACATCCTATAAATACGTATGTATGCTTATCAAATCACCTTTGTGGCTGGACCACACTGGACTGTACTTAAAAATATTTTGTGTTAAATCAGTGGCTCTGAAAACATAATGAAAAATAAAGGTAATATGAGCCAAGGTTTAACTCTACTGTTTCGTCTTAGAATGTTCAAACTGTACTTATTTTTAATTCTGTTTTTAAAAAATTACATTCCCACCTGCCCGTATTTTTTAAACAGGCTCAAGGTATCGGCTCGCAAAAGAGGGTATTTTGTCTCAGGTTGGAAAAGTTATTTCTGACCATAAAGGCGAACTGAAGATCCTCATATACAAATAAAATAAATTGAAAGTGCCCTCGGGGAAAGTACAAGAATTGAGAACGTATATAATTTCTTTGAGTCATTTTAGTGTCAATGTAAGGAGACACGAGAATAACACTTTTTTTTTGTAATACCGATATGCAGTTGTACATTCCTGCATTCTGAACTTCAGGTATCATTTAATCTTGCTGCGTTTGCGTTGTGTGATATCTTTTCGTTGTGGGTGAGTGTGTGCATTTTTAGAGAAACCTTTGTTTATTTTCCCTCAGAGTTCCTAATATTAGTTCCAAAACTTAGAAACTACTTACTGCTGTTGATTAGTAATTAGATGTAATTGGATAATAGTTTTTTATATATCGTCGAGAACACATAACAAAACGTTTTGTATATGATATGCTTAATCTTGTTTTGCTTGTTCCTTTGTGATTTTGTTAACATTTTAATAAAAGTACTACTGTCTGTGCATGATTTCTA